TCCTTCCTTCCCTTCCTTCCTTTCCTTCCTTCCTTCCTTTTTTCCTTCCTTCCCTTCCTTCCTTCCTTTCCTTCCCTCCTTTTTTCCTTACTTTCCTTCCTTCCTTCCCTTCCTTCCTTTTTTCCTTCCTTCCTTCCCTTCCTTCCTTCCTTTCCTTCCCTCTTTTTCCTTCCTTTCCTTCCTTCCTTTCCTTCCTTTTTTCCTTCCTTTCCTTCCTTCCTTTTTTCCTTCCTTTCCTTCCTTCCTTCCCTTCCTTCCTTCCTTCCCTTCCCTTCCTTCTTTTCTTCCTTCCTTCCTTTCCTTCCTTCCTTTTTTCCTTCCTTCCTTTCTTCCTATCCTTCCTTCCTTTCCTTTCCTTTCCTTTCCTTTCCTTTCCTTTCCTTCCTTCCTTCCTTCTTTCCTTCCTTCCTTTCCTTCCTTCCCTTTCCTCCCTCCCTCCCAGCTCCCGTTCTGACCGATTGAAGGCTGAAAGGCTAAATTTCGGGGTTCTGCACCCTTTCAAAGTTTCCTGCAACCTCCCGAGACTTACTCTCTGGCTTCCAGTGTGACGATGATGAGGATGGGGCGCCGGTTCATGCCGCCGACGCAGCTGCTGTTGCACATGAAATTGTAGAGGACGGTTGTGAATTCGGTGCCAACCTGGGGGGGGGGGGGGGGGGGGGGGGAGGGAGAGAGAAGAAGGAGGAAGCGTTGGGGCTGAATTTTGGAGTTACACCTCGGAGTCTCAGCTGTAGGTCTCATTGTTGGGTGGTGGGGCTGCTGATACCACACAAAAGAGAGGTTTATCTCACACACGCACGCACACACACACACACCACACACACGAGATCCTGCTTTCCTGGATCTTCTCTTTCACGGCCTTCCTTGCAGGAAACCAGGTCCTTGCTTTGGCTTGCACAATGTGGACTAGCGGCAGATTTGCACCCTTAACAATGCAAGGGGCTTCCTGGTTTGTTAACCCGGCAGGCGGCCGAGATGGGGAATTGGGATTTCTTGCAGAATAATTGCAACTGAAAAGAGAAGCGTCTTGTTTTCAAGTGGGAAAGAGTCGTTACGACCACACGCAGGGGTGTGTATATATATATATATATTTATTTGACTGCGATGAGCCAAGAAATTTGGATCGCTAAAGAACAAGCTTTTCATAGAGAGCTTTTTTCAAAAAAAAAATAAAGTAAAATGTTGATGCGTGTACACAGAGATTTTAGTCTTCTCTCTTTACAGTTTATTTATTTGAACAATGTCCTGGTTTGTGCCAAATGCCCAATTTTCTGCCCCTACTCATGTGTGCTTCAGACACTTAAAAACAAGGGGAAGGAGAGGGAGGGAGGAAGGGAGGGAAGGGAAGGGAAGGAGGAAGGGAGAATGAAGGAAGGGAGGGAGGGCAGAGGGAAGGAGGGTGAAAGGAAGAAAAGAAGGAGGGAGGCAAGAAGGGTGGTGGAAAATAAGGAAGGCGGAGAGAGGGAAGGAAGGAAGGCGGGAGGGAGGGAGAAAGATGGGGAAGTAAAGGAAGGAGATATGTAGGACAAAGGATGCCAGAAGCTGGGGATGGAGTCAAAAGAGGAGAGATGGAGAAGGAAGGAAGGAGAGAGGAGGGTGGAAAGAAGGAAGGCGGGGAGGGAGAGAAGAAGAGATGGAGAATGAAGGAAGGAGGACAGAAGGAGGACGGAGGGAGGGTGGAAGGAAGGAAGGAAGGAAGGAAGATGGGGACATAAAGGAAGGAGATATGTAGGGCAAAGGATGCCAGAAGCTGGCGATGAAGTCAAAAGAGGAGAGATGGAGAAGGAAGGAAGGAGAGAGGAGGATGGAAAGAAGGAAGGCGGGGAGGGAGAGAAGAAGAGATGGGGAATGAAGGAAGGAGGACGGAGGGAGGGTGGAAGGAAGGAAGGAAGGAAGGAACATGGGGACGTAAAGGAAGGAGATATGTAGGACAAAGGATGCCAGAAGCTGGGGATGGAGTCAAAAGAGGACTCAGCCCAGAATCCCTGTGTAGCCACTAAATCCAACCTCCCTTGAATCCCACGGAGCCTCATCTTAACTCCCAGCAGGCGCTGACCGTTAGTTGAGCAGATTCCTGTGCCTGGGGATCTTGACCCTTCGGGAGGGGTGCACCTGGTCTTTTGCACCTGATTGTTGGGGGGGGGGGGCATCAGGAAACACCTGGCAGGGAGACACCTCCACCTGCCCTCCCAGCTCACCTGGGGTGGTTCGTAAGGGACAAGGACGCTCTGCCTCCCGGTGATGGGGTCTTCCACGTACTGGGCGTGGCTGTTGCCTTCCACGCGGATGAGATGGCTAGGAGGAGCAATTTGGCCTGGGGGAAAAAAAAAAAAGAGTATAGAAATCGTTCCAAAATCCAAAATCCCCTGCTTCTCCGGCCGCGAGTCAACCAGATATGAAGCCCGCTTCCCCTTCAAGAAAGGCCGAAGCAGGTTAAACTTGGCTGGAAGATGCCCTGCCCATCTCCACACTGAGGAAGCACAGGTGGTCCTTGACTCACGACCGCAACTGAGTCTACGACCTTCGTTGCTAAGCGAGTCACATAGGATTTTATGACTTTTTTGTTGTTGCGGTCAATGCAATTATGAAGCGAATCCGATTTCTCCCACTGACTTGGGGTGGGCAGCTCGCAAACCTCGACTGTGGGACGCTGTGACCGTCGTAAATACAGGTTAGTCCTCCACTTAGGACCACAAACGGAGGCCCAAAATTTATGTTGCTGAGTGAGAAATGGGTTAAGTGAGTTTTGCCTCATTTTCCAAGTTTTCTTGCCACGTGTGTGTGTGTGTGTGTGTGTGTCCGTCCGTCCAACCTTGGCCACTTGAAGACTTGTGGACTTCAACTCCCAGAATTCCCCAGCCAGCCCTGCCTATTTCTTGTCCTCCCATCTCCTTTACAGCAGAGAGATTGCAGAGAAAGGGATTAGAAGAGAGTAAGCAGGTCACACGAGAATGCAGGTCAAAAAGGGTGGCTGGCTGGGGAATTCTGGGAGTTGAAGTCCACAAGTCTTCCAAGCAGCCAAGCACTTATGCAAAATATTTAAAGCGGGGGGGAAAATGCTGAGATCTCCACAAAGGTCCTAAGACAAGTCATTAAATGCCATTTATGCACCATCTCTGGAGCTTTGTTTAAAGAAGAGACAGTCATTTGTCCATATTGGCATAGGGTCTCCCACCTGGGCCAGAGGTAGGACTAGAAGACCTCTAGGGTCCCTTCCAATCCTGTCATTCTACACTGCGAGCACCCAACCCTTCCCGCCCCTAAATTTTCACAGTCAAATCTTCGTGACCACAATTCCCCCTCCTCCTGTTTCCTCTCCTTTTCCTCCTCCTTTTTTTTATAATGCTCTATTGAGCTTTTTTTCCATTTATACATAATACCAATAGTTAATTAAACAGCGCTGTGACATTATATATACATTTATGTGTCCTATCAAAACTCACAATACATAATACTTTCATACCCTCTTATTTATAATATACATTATTTACAGTTCGTTTGTCCCCACACATATGGTGATGCTTCCCTTGATAATATATGATGTATTTTGTATAATTCTCTGTGCATTTGTACTTATATTCAATGTGTCCATAAACATTTTGTACAGTTGTACATGTTCAAATATGTGCAGTCACACTTATCCTTATGTGCTCGCTCATGTACATACATTCTGTTGTGTTTTCCATTGACATATTCATATATGCCTTGCACATTTGCATACATATATTTATATTTTACTGTTGTTTTGCACTTCTGGTTGGATGCTAGCTGCATTTCGTTGCCTGTATCCATGGCAATGATAATAAAGTTGAATCTAATCTAATCTATTCTTATATCTATTATCAATCCAAATAAACCATGTTTCCCATACTGCGTTGTATTCTGTGTCTGTTTTCCCTTTTAATTCCATAGTTAATTTATCCATTTCCACACACACTAAATTTTGTTTGATTATTAAGCCTTCAGGTGGTGTGGAGTTTTTCTTCCACTACTGGGCATATGAAATTCTTCCTGCTGTTAATATACGTAAGATAAGATATTTTGTCTTTCTATTATAGTTTTTTTTTAATTATTTCTAAGAGGAATAATAAAACACTGGGAAATGATTCAAACGTGGTTAGAAGAGTTAACTAAAAACAAAATTGATTTTGTCCCGGAATTATTCCTCCTCTTATTCCTTCTCCTTCTTCTCTTTTTTCTCCATTTCCTTCTCCTTTACCTTCTCCCTCCTTCCTCCACTACCCCCATCCTTAATTTCTCCCTCCTTCCCTCCTCCTTCGGACGCCTCACCTTCGTTGAATTCCCGGCTGAGTTCGTGATTCGGACATCGCTTGACCACTTCGGTCACGTGTTCGGCCTTCTTGTAAACCGGCATGGCTCGGATAACGGCCCCCTGGGGTGGGGGGGTCATCACCTTGATTTGGATGGGGCAGGTCTTGGCGATCTGGCAGTAGAGCTTTTTCAGTTCGGTCGAATACTGCACCGGGAGAGAATGGAGAGAAAGGGACCCAAAGAGAGATCAACGTTTATGTAAGATAATAAGGGATTAATAGCTAAGATGTGAAAAGAAATGTTATATGGAGCCTGACAGAGATTAGCCCACTGTAGCTACATAGCCAAAAAGGCGTTAAGAGTTGTTAACCTAACCTTATGTAGGTTTTTGTCTGGTAATATCACACTACTAACTAGAGCATAGAAAACATTTGCGAGACCAATACTCGAATACAGCTCATCAGTCTGGAACCCACATTACGTATCTGATATTAGCACAGTTGAGAAAGTCCAGAAATATTTCACAAGAAGAGTTCTCCGCTCCTGTACTCGTTGCAGAATACCTTATGCCACCAGACTCGAAATTCTAAACCTAGAAAACCTTGAATTACGCCGCCTTCGGTCCGATCTAAGTATAGTATATAAAATCATACATTGCAATGTCCTACCTGTCAATGAATACTTCAGCTTCAACCATAACAACCCAAGAGCAAACAATAGATACAAACTCAAGGTTAATCGCACCAAACTTGATTGCAGGAAATACGACTTCAGCCACAGAGTGGTCAAAGTCTGAAATCCTCTACCTGACTCTGTGGTTTCTTCCCCAAACCCCAAAAACTTTAACCTTAGACTTTCTACTATTGACCTCACCCCTTTCCTAAGAGGGCTGTAGGGGGTGTGCATAAGCGCACCAACGTGCCTACCGTCCCTGTCCTATTGTTTCTTTTTATTTTTCTTATATGTATCCATGTATTCATAACTATGTTTATTCTTATACCTATTATCTTGTAAGCAATTGACAAAAATAAATAAATAAAATAAACAAATAAACAAATAGATATAACCATATAGTAGGATAATATTTATTATTATTATTATTATTTTATTTATTTTCAAAATACGTATTATATTCATTTACATTTTAACAGTACTGCGTCAAGCGTCACTTATACTTACAATTCTTTTTTCATATCGAACCTTGTTTCTCTTCTCTAACCATATATGCAACATTTCCCATACCTCATAAAACTCAGACTTCTCTTTTGCTTTAAATTTCCTCGTAAAGCCTATCCATTTCGGCACAATCCAGTTTATTTTATTACCATATTCTCACTTATTTTCCAGCTCTGGGCATAAGCAATTATTGCTGTTGTTATTATATGCTGTACGCCGTATTGGATATGTTTCTTTAAATTTCCTTTAATCATCCCCAATAAAAATGTTTCTGGTTTAAATCCAATATCATACCCTGTAACTTCTTGTATCCATTTTTAATAATATTTTTAATGAATTATATATTTTGTTATTCATTTATATAAGATAATGAGGTTATAATGTTATAAGTTTGATATTATTGGCTTAAAAGAAAATATGTTTGTGTAAAAATGAGATGTTAAGAGAGGAAAGGGAACATAGAAAATAAAATATACCCAACAGTGGCAAATGTAATATTGGGAGGACATAATAGGAGATAATATAAGTTAAGATGGAATTTTGAATGCTTAATGAATGGTACGAAATTGTAAACATGGTGGCACAAGAATACACAATTAAGGAAATTAAGAGATTGATTAGTATATTTTTAATGAATTAAATATTCTGTTATCCACATGCATAAGTTTATGAGGATATATTGCTATAAATTTGATAAAATAAGACGGAAAACGTATTTGTGAAAAAATGAGAAGTTAAAAGGGGAGGAAGCACAGAGAAAACATAAATATACGTAACAGAGGCTAGTGTAATAATGCAAAGGGGATTTATTAAGGGATAACCATAAATTAAGATGAAATTTTGAATGTGAATATACGATTAAGGAAGATGGAGAATGAATAAAAATAAAGAGGCTGATACAAAGCAACTTGTGAGAATATAAAGAAGAAACTATGATCATAGATAGCGATGTGGTGTTAGAAAGTTATGTTTGTGATCATGGATATGACTGATTTAAAATGTGAAACACCTGGGACACCACACGGTTCTCGCAAAGATATATTTTAATAATTAAAAAATAAAAAAAACTTTTTGCAAAAAAAAAAGAAGAGAGAGAGAGAGAGAAAGGGACAAAAAGGAGAACAATGAACAGGCTGAAATTTCCAAGGCTGGCTGAGCGGCTGAGCTCCCTGTTCCCCCCAACTCCCAAGACTTGTTCACCTGATGCCGAATTTGCACCCGCGCCCAAAATGCCACAGTACAGGTGGTCCTTGACTTGTGACCAAAAGGGACTCCCCAAATTCCTCTCGCTAAGCAAGACCTTCGTTAAGCAAGTTGGGGCTCATTTTAACCACCTTTCTTGCCCCCGGTCATTCAGAGGACCGCTGCGGTCCTTAAGTAAGTGACAGCATTGTTAAGTGAATTGGGCTTCCCCCCATGCTGGTCGGAAGGTCACAAAAGGGGAATCACGTGACTAACCCGCCGTCCCTCCCCGGGGACACTGAGACCGTCGTAAATATAAATCGATTGCTGAATGGATTTTGGATTTTGATGACGTGACCCCTTGGGGATGCTGTAATGGTCTTTAAGTGTGGAAAACGATCCTTAAGGGTGGAAAATGATCCTTGAGTGTGGAAAACGGTCTTTAAGGGTGGAAAATGGTCCTTGAGTGTGAAAAATGGTCCTTGAGTGTGAAAAACGGTCTTTAAGGGTGAAAAACGGTCTTTAGGGTGAAAAACGGTCTTTAAGGGTGGAAAACGGTCCTTAAGTGTGGAAAACGGTCCTTAAGTGAGAAAAACGGTCCTTAAGTGTGGAAAACGGTCCTTAAGGGTGGAAAACGGTCATTGAGTGTGAAAAATGGTCCTTAAGGGTGAAAAACGGTCCTTAAGTGTGGAAAACGGTCCTTAAGGGTGGAAAACAGTCCTTAAATGTGGAAAACGGTCCTTGACTGCGGAAAATGGTCCTTAAGTGTGGAAAATGGTCCTTAAGTGTGGAAAACTCTTTCAAGTGCTGTGGTAACTTCGAATGGTCACTAAATGAATCGTTGTAAGTCGAGGACTGCCCATATTTGGTCCTATTGCATAAGGGGTGGTCTACAGAGGAGGGCTTCCTTCCAGGATGGGACTTTGCAAATGTTTCTCGTTTTTTTTAAACGGATTTAACCATAAAAAAAAACCCCACTTAAACTGCCCAACTGCCAAGAGCAATTGACAATAAAACACTGTTCAAAAGTCCCATAAAGTCAGATAAAGCCGAAGATAAAGAGAAACTTCTGCTTGTACTGCAGCCCTGGAGCAGGTTTGGTTGGTGAGCATTGTGGGGAGTGGGAATTGGGGGGGGGTGTGTGGCAAAAATGGGGGCTTGGCGGATCCCACAACAGGGCCCAACCCCCTGCAAGGAGGGTGGGGGGCAGAAATGGCCCCGAGGGGGGGTTCACCATCCACCGGTTGACTCCTGAGATGAAGCCAGGATTTCCTTCCCCGGAGAAACTGGAACAGTTACTAAGACAATTGGAAACCCCTTTTAGGGAGAGAGGGAGGGAAGGAAAGAAGGAGAGGGAGGGAGGAAATAGGAACAAAGAAGAGAGAAAGGGAACTTGAGGGGGGAATGGAGATGGAAATAGGAACAAGGAAGGAAGGAAGGAAGGAAGGAAGGAAGGAAGGAAGGAAGGAAGGAAGGAAGATGGAAATGGAAGGAAGGAAGGAAGGAAGGAAGGAAGGAAAGAAGGAAAGTAGATGGAAATAGGAACAAGAAAGGAAGGAAGGAGGGAAAAAAGGAAGGCAGGAAGGGAGAGGGAAATAGAAGGAAGGAAGGAAGGAAAGAAGGAAGGAAGGGAGGGAGATGGAAATGGAAGGAAGGAAGGAAGGGAGATGGAAATAGAAGGAAGGAAGGAAGGAAGGAAGGAAGGAAGGAAGGAAGGAAGGAAGGAAGGAAGGAAGGAAGGAAGGAAGGAAGGAAGGAAGGAAGGAAGGGAGATGGAAATAGGAACAAGGAAGAAAAGGAAGGAGGGAGAAGTTATGATGGTGATGGTGGAGGAGAAGGAAAAGGAAGAAGAAAAGAAGGAAAAGGAATGAGAGAAGGAGAAAGAAGAAAAGGAGAAGGAGAAGACGATGTGAAGGAAGAAGGGAAGGAAACGGAGGAGGAGAAAGAACGATGGGGCTGGTGGAGGAGGAGGAGGGCCAGGAGACTTGATGGAGGAAGAGGAGCAGAGGTGGTGGGCCTGAAAAAACAGGAGGAGGAGGAGGAGGAGATGGAGAAGAAGAAGGACGGAGCGGCGGAAGGAAAAAAAGAAAAGGGAGGACGAAGAGAATAAACCCACCAGCCGTTTATCTCCGGATGCCAACTCCCAAAGGGTTCCTAGCCACGTGCCAGTTTCCAAACCTGCCCATAATAAGGGGGGGGGGGGAAGACTCTGCCTTAGGATGCCCCCCCCCCGCCTTCCCCTCTGCCAGAGGATGCCAAGCCCTTGGAAAGCCCCGAGTCCTGCCGCTCCCCCCGAGGCTGGCGTGGGCACCCTCCGCGCCAGCTGGCCCTTTCCGAGAACGCCGTGTCTGTTTGCTGACGGATGCCCATCGAGGGCCGGGCGAGAGCACAAAAGGGGCGGGCAGGAATGCGCCCCCCCCCCCCCCCCCCCCCCCCCGCAGCCTCTGTCCAGATAACATCCCTTGGCGGGAGGTACCCGTGGGTGGGAAGGTGGCACACGGGGGCCCGGCTCGGGCAGCTGGGAAAACACAAGCTGCGGGCCAAGGCATTTCGACACACAACACACACACACACACCCAAAAAACGGGGGGAGTCCCCTGGCCTTCGAGAACAAAAGCACTACCCAGGTTCAACGCCCCCCCCCGGCCCCTCCCCCCAAAAAAAACCTACCACCCCAAACCCCTTTTCCTTCCCGGAGTTTGTGGGCGCGGCTGCCCGAGGCCCAGGGGTTTTTTTCCTTCCCTCCCCGTGTCTTAAGCCCTCTTTCTTTAGTGCGACAATGCGAGATTGTGCAACCGCCTCTCTCTCTCTCTCTCTCTTTTTTGTGTGTGGGTGTGTGTGT